GGCTCTTTAGATCTGAGAGTTTTATATCTGACCTCCTTGTCTGACCTCTACGTCTGAGCACATACTTGAAATTTATTTGAGATATCATCAAACACTAAATAGAGCTAATGTTTTCTATCACGTGATAGACCCAAATGTCATTTTCCACATAAAAAGGATAAAACTATTAAAACATAGTGATACCGACATTTCAGAACAAAAGTTTGGCATCGACATCATATATGGTTAGGCACACCTAGCTACCAGTTGCTTGACACATACATCTTTTTGTCTAAGTTAGGCACGTCAATAACAACCGATGACCAAGCAATTTAATCCATGGCGGTAATTTGACGGTTTGTCTCAATTCAAACCATCTATAACTAAAGTGGTTTACTGGCAAGATAGCATCTCGTAAGGGACCTTTCGGTAATGTTCATGCAGGTTCAATTCACAAGGTATAAACTGTTGACTTGCTTTTAACAGTTTGGTGGGACTGAGATCGAACTATAATTCTAGTTGTCTTTGGGGAATGCATGTAGAGCTCACCGTCTGGGCCTCTCTGGAGGACTATTCCAACGAGTTCGAACTATTATAGTCATGTTTATACATGTGTTCCATGCCAGTTGCCCCTTGCCACCTCTTTTTGGCTAATAAGCAAAAAAATAAATAAATCCATAAACAAATAAAACAACAACAAAAACCACCATTGTTACATCCACAAGCATAAAGAAAATCAAAGACAATAAATGGGTCATCAGAGTGACTTGAGACTATTTTTTTCAAATAAATAAATAATTATTATTGAGCACGACAAAATTCCATTCACGGTGGGAAAAGTTCCTATTTTATTGGAACAAATACAGCTAAGAATGCAATTGTGCATCAAACTCAACATTGCAAAAGTCTGACTTCATTAATATTGGATACCTTCCACACACCCCAACCCCAAACATGAAGAAAATTGATCCCAAGGCAAAAGGGGATTATAACTATTATGCGATTACTGGGAGGATGAAAAGTTGAAAGAATAAATAAAATATCATATTTGGTAAGGAAGGAAAGTATGAATGACGGAAAAATTTATGAATTAACTTTTTTTTCAACTCACCAAAATCAATTCCTCCAAAATCAGAAGAAAAGTAGATGGAAAGTTAATTATTTGTGTTGATATGTATTGTATTTGTCTATATATCTTATGTATACATTAATTTCATATAAAAATACAATGGTAAAATATGTATATATATTTTAAAAAATTTTAAAATTTAATTTTAAATGAAAAATAAAAAATAAAAATTTTAAATTTAAAAAAAAATATTTTTTCCATCTTAACTAAGAGTGAAAATTTTTTAGTCAACACGATAACACGACTCGAACTCGATACGAAAATAAATAGATCAACTCACAACTCGATACGACACAATTAATTAAATGAGTTAAGTTAGATTTTACTAATATTCGAGACAAATTCGTAATGATTCAACACGAATTTGACACGACATGACTCGACTCTATTGTCACCTCTAAATTTAGCTAGTACAAAAAAAAAATATCATTTTTATTTTTCATCCATCCAACCAAATACAAAGGAAGAAAATGTATTCCTCCTACTTTTCATCCTCCCCTACCAAACGGAACATAAGATTAATATTCTTTAAACATAATAATTTAACTAAATTTATATATCTATTCTGAGTGGCCCATAATATTAAAAGCTATTTGTCAATCAAATAATGAATTTAATCAAAAAATCATACAATATCAGTATCAATATGTGTAAGTATCATTATTGAAAACTACCTTTTAGGTAACTCACAATACACTTTTGATACATTGAGAGTATAATATTAAAAATTTAATAGTTGAGATTATAAAATAAGAATCTTAAAATTTTTTAAAATATAAAATGCAAAAAATCCTAATTATTTAGACATACAATCGGAAAGCAGCGGGTGAAGAGTAAAGATCGGAGATCTGAACCACTGTCTGACCGCGTGAACCGCTCCTTCTAAGCTGGTCTAACACAAGACAAGACAAGACGTGCGGTTTAAAAATCCGATAGAATAATCCTGTCGTCATATTCTCTGTCCCTCTCCTGTCTATTTGTGTATCTGATATCTAACTCACTCGGACCCTCTTGAAACACACACAGCACGCACGCACGCACTCGTTCCGTCTCATTCCTCACCACCTTTCAATGTAAGCTCTCTCTCTCTCTCTCTCTCTCTCTCTATCTCTGTGTTCATATGGATGTGTGAGTGCTTACCCTGTCTTGTATGTGGTCTCTGATTTGGAGTGTGCTAGTTTACTCCGCAGTGGAGATAAGAAGAGATGGTTGTGTTCAAGGTTGGTCGTGTTGAAACGACACCGTTCGATGGCCAGAAACCTGGGACTTCTGGTCTGAGGAAGAAGGTAATTTCTAGATTTGGCAATATAGTTGTTTAAGTGGTACCATTTGATCTAGAACATTTGCTTGAACCTTTGATCTTGATTACAGTAACTCAATTTGATATGTTCTTTCAAAACATGATTGCATATATATATTTGTAAAATTTGAACTGGTGCGTTTCTTTTCCGTATGAAATTTGCATATTTATTTCAGTGTACGAGCAATTCTTTTCCATTTGATCGATGTTTATTCGAATTAGCTGGTTAATTTTGAAATTTGAACTTTGATTTTGCTGTGTATGAGCAATTATTCTCAGTGTTCAGATGATCTTATGAATATATAGCACTTAATTAGATCCTGTTTATATTTCGCAAATGAGTGCTGGGAATTTTATAAGATCATTGAGCTCGATAATTTAAAGGATAAGAATTTCATCGTATGATTCTTTATGTTGATTTGTAATTTTTAAAGAGTGAGCTGGAGTAGAATCCAACTTAATGCAGATGATGAATTAGATCATTCTGATGTGAACTCACTTGCAATAGATGTAATCACGTAAATATATTTCTATTAGTCCACACAAAAAACAGTATCTTTTGTGTTAGTATGACATCTAACTTATGTTACATGGACCTGAGTATGATTGTCAGGTGAAGGTATTGATCTATGCATGAGATTCATATTGTCTCCAATGTCCAAATCTCATAATTTGTATTATTTCCAGGGCAAATAATATTTGATGTACCACAGTGATAAAAATGGGCATTTTCCTCATTTTATATCAATTTTGCCACAACACCAACTATCACAATAATAAATTGTCATTACCCGGTTTGGTTCATGTTAACGGTGGATGCTGGGAGGGGAGTATTGTTGACACAAGTTTGTGGTTTTGCGTATGAAGTCAAACTGGTGCCTATAATGTTAGGTGTATGGCCTGCAGCTAATCTGCCCATCCCCGGAATATATTCAAGGAATATAATTTATGATAAACTAGATTGTTGTAGATTTTTGATTGGCACATTTGCTGGGAAGTGTTGCACAAATATAACATACCTTTACCCTGCCAGCAATTGTCTGACATCGGTAGGTGATGCATTTGAAGAGTGCATGTAACGTGAGATCCAATTATCTATTGTTAATGTTGTTTTCTTGATCGTGGGGGCTTCAATGATTTCTCTACTGCTTTGGACCCTTTTGTTCCTTGGTGATCTAATAATTCTCTTGTTTATGTGTGTGTGCACCAGTTGAAAGTAGTTTTATAATATGTATTTTTGTCTATTAAATTTGCATGCCGTAGTATTTAAAATATATGAATTGACAACCTTTGATTTGATTATATGAGTGAAAATAATTTATAGAAGTCATATATAGGCTTCTGATCACAAGGTTTTATCAGCATGGTATTGGGTGCTGTTACAGATGAAATGACTGTCAAGTTACCCACATGCCATATAGTTACATTTTTTGGTGATGACAGTTTTCTGTAATTAGCTGGAATATGTGCTTGTTGGTTGCTTTGGACAATCTGAATAGCTTTTATTATTTGATCTAATAAAATGGTGTCTGTGTATTTTTGCAGGTGAAAGTATTCAAGCAGCCTAATTACTTGCAAAATTTTGTTCAGTCAACATTCAATGCCCTTACAACAGAAAAAGTTAGAGGTAAGGGTTTTGTTATTTATTGTTTGGTTTTCTCGTACAATTTGAGATGAAAGTCTTGACTGGGGTATTGAAATTTTAACATGCAATAAATGAATTTCAAATGCTGTAGCAGTTTTGAAGTAGTTGAAATCCAAAATCTATATGGTTATCACAAAAATGTTTCAAAGATCTATATCTGTGCAAGCAATGTCTACTTTAATGTGGATTGTAGGCCACTGACTACATCATGTTTGCATCTTTCTCTTATTTTGAATTGTATGGAACAAGATTTCTTTCTCAAAATTCATTAGATGTGTTATTGAGAAAAAAACCATGGAACAATGCATTTGTTAAATCGCGGAAAGAAGTTGGACTCCATTACAAGGACAATTTTGGGGTTATTTAAAAAATATGGTTATCATCAACTATCTCATTGTCTGTAAACAACCTCCTAGGAGTGAGGATGTCCATCTGTTCTATATGAAGAAATTGTTATTATTCCAGTAAAAACGATATTCAAGAGCATTTATTTTTAAAATTATGATCTACTCATTCAGTCGAAGAGGATCGGGATCTTATTATTAAGACACAACTAAGAAAACGAAGTTGTTCTTTTCATATTGTCTGTGATTAAAGCATGGATATGGTATGTAGAAAGTTAAATTTACTTAGGGGATGGACCTTGGTGTAGCATTAGGATTGCTCTACTTGACCTATGCATCAATGCCCCATTCGTGGAAATGAACCCTCCGCATGCGAGAACATTTCCACCATATGCAAGAATAAGATTGCATGCACTTGATTCTCTCCAAACCTCTCACTGACGTTAGTCTCGTGCATTGAGTTGTCATTTTCTTAGTTATGAGGTTAGGAGTGCTTTATGACGCACAACAATGCACACGTATAGTTAGACAGAAGATGCCAAGTTGTATGAAGCTGAAATGACTTTTATGCAATTGATAGGAAGATAGAGAGAGAGAGAGATAAAGGACATTTGGTTCAATTTCAAGATGGGGCTCACTTGAGAGTTCTCAAATTTAAGTTTTAGATTGCATTGAGGTACTTTTTTTAATATCTTTTCGAGCTAATATGTTAGATTTTTCATTTAATTTATGTTACATGATGCAAGAGCAAGCTGATATAATTAAAAAAACTTCCTACACTTAATGTTTCGACATTTTAGTTTTACATGTACCAGTATCATTTATGGTAGTGGTTTAGTGATGTGACACTCGCATGGGAGCCGACATTAGTCTCTACTTTTAGTAATTTACTTGTAATAAGGTACTTATGACGTACATCTGAATTAGAATATTTCTATTGTTTGGACTTAATTTGACCTGGATATTTGGTTTTACTTTCTTTTGTATGTGACTTATGACATCTTTGTAATATGAGGGAAGTGAAGCGAGCATTGCAAGAGCTATCTATTCCATTGGGGAGATGGCAAGGGAAACGCACCCAAACTCATAGGCAATGACGTTTCCGAGCTACCACATTCACGCATGCTGCGGGGGATCATATGCAGTTACCCAGTCTACCTGTTCAAGCGAGCACTTGCAAGCAGCTAGAACGTACATTGTACAAGATGTCGCTCACCTCCTCGTATGCTCTTCCCTATAGCCCTATAGCCCTCACGTAGAAGGGAGAGCTATGAGTTCGTTCTCTCATTCCCATTAGAATAAAAAAGAAAGAACGTTTTGAGTGCACCAAGATTTGCTTAAACTAGCACCCTACAAGTTCTTTTGCGTACACTAGGTATTGTCTAAACCAACACCCTACCAGTGTTTTTCCTTTATTTCTCTCTAAGAACAATAAATTTAAGACCTTGTTCCTTGTCTTCCTTACTGCATAATCATATTGGGTTTTATGAGTTTAGGGATGTTAGTGCTTGAGTTCCTTTTGTCTATGTATAGAAATGATTTATGTGTCTTAGCATGTTGCATTGTCCAAAGGAGTATGTTTGCTAACCATTGCTCTCTCTCTCCCCCCTCTCTTTCCTTCCAATCATGCTTTCTCGCCTTTGGTGCCCATGAGTCACAGCACTTATTGAGATCATGATGTTCCCGACATTAAGCGTTGCCTTTCTTTCCACTATGTTTCTTGTTGGAGATCATTGTCTTCTAATATATCTCTTTCGTGGCAAAACAATGCTCGCTTTTTATCTGGCTATTCGCTTTTGGATGGTTCAACCCTATTGAATGAATTTAAGCAATTCTCAATGATGAATTAACAAGTTTGGTTATTTATAAGGAATACAATTAACTGTCAAATTTTGTTAGTCCTATCGTAGATATAAGAGAGATTTGGGTATGACGTATTACACTGTAGTGTTTGGAAGATATCTTATTGATTAGATAGAGATTGGGATATAACAACTTTCACAAACTTAAATATAGATTTTAGTCTAGCTTTGGCCAAGAACGCAATGTTGGAATTTGTATAGCAGTCTGACGGTGAAGAAGTTTTCTAGCCTTTTGTATATGCATTCAAAATTTATTGTGTGTAGTCACAAAAGCTTTGTTTAATACTTATCCTCTCACTTGAAGAATGCAATTGCTAATGTAGGAATGAGATCGAAAAAAGCTAAGAATTTGCTTTACCCCTATAAGTACAAGGCCAATATTAATATGATGGACACAGTTTTTTTGGGATGACAGTCTGTATTTTTGTCATCTACATATGTTGTGTGAAGAGAGTTTCTGTGCCACATTGAAAAATTAAGGCCAAGTAAGGTTGGTTTATGTGGTTGATACTTGATAGTTCTTTCACCATTGCCAATTGGTTGTGTTTGATGTTCTAACATGGGATCAGAGTTGGATGATTGAGGGGCTAGTTTTTCACCCATTTGAATTTTCAGTTTGTTGGTCTCTTTGCTTTAGTTTTGTTTGTCAGCCTGCATGTGAGCTTGGGTTACATGTGAGAGAATGGGTGGGGAGCGCTTGAATCCCACATTAAAGATTAGAACCACCCAATATTGGGTTATGCGGATGCAGAGTCTCTTCATCCATTCCAAGAAATAGTCAATTCAACAAAATTTGTCCCTTTTTTTTAACTTCGGCTTGAGGGAGGGCTTTAAGCTTGTATGCCTTCATCTATTGATGGATAAATTTTAGTAAGTTTTGATGTGTTTTTTTTTTCTTTTTTTAATTTTCCCTTAACCTAGTTCTCTCTTTGTCTTGCTTCATGTCCTAAATGGTTGTGGTTTTTTATTGATATTTTCTTTTTATGGGTTATGTTTATTTTTCGTTAACTACATGTTCTTTCTGCAGGTGCTACACTTGTTGTTTCTGGTGATGGCCGATACTTTTCAAAGGATGCTATCCAGGTATATTGTTATGGCAAATTATATCCAAGGCTTATCCTTGCGCTATTTGTTAATTTAGGAAGGATTCTGGTTGTCATTAATCATTTTATGAAGAAAGCAAATTTTGTCTATGTAGGTTAACTTTCATTTTACCTTTAAGGGTTTGCAAGCCTCATTGAATAGAGCAATAGCCTAGTGTTGGCATACAATTCACAGTTTAACTTCGAAGTAATCTGATGTGATGTTTCAATATTCGGCTTATGTGTTGGGTTTTGCAAAAAAATTTATTCTTCAAAATTTCTAAATCCATCCAATTATGTAGAATGTGAAGGAAATCAAAATACATTTGTTATGTAGTATGGAATGTATTCAACTCAACTGGACAAGGTTTTATCCCAACTATTTAGGGATGGACCACATGCATCATGTTCCTCCATTGTGTGTTCAATTGGAAGCAGTCATATTTATTTTTACTTGTATCGCTCTTTCTCACTGGTGTAGTAATAAGTCTTCTATAAACATGCCCAAACTATCTGGGTTGATTCTTTGCTAATTTATCTCCAATTGGTTCAATGTATACGGTTTTATGAATATACTCTGATTCTATCTTTTCTAGTTTTACAACGCAGCCATTTTCACTTTCTCTTTTCAACCACACCTAGTTTTGAACATGCTTTATTTAGTTGCCCTTGCCCAATTTTTTTTATGATAAAGTATTGTTAGTGCAATGCTTGTCTTGTAGGGTTGCTTTTTCGCCTTAATAGGTATATCTCGATCACACAATACACTAGATGCATTCCTTTTTTCATTTATCATATTTTAATTCTATGAGTAACATTGTCTCCAATCTTCCCCTCTTGGATAATTGACTCTATTTATCGAAAGTGTTCGCCCTTTGGTATCTATTGATATTCGATCTTTACCTCCTCCCAAATTGACCCTACAAGTATTCTAGGTGCTTTTAATGTTGCAAACAACCTCTCTGCATGGGGATTTTTTTTTTCTGCGCGCCCCCCCGGGGTGGGGTGGGGGGGGGGGAGGTGAGACTGCATATATCTAACCTTCGCTAGATCTGTGGAGGGAGTCTCGTGCACTAAACCACCTTTTCAATGCTACAATCTTTAAAGAAAGGAAAGAATGCTAAAGATCCTAAATTGCTTCACTAATTATTCTCAAAAAATTATGGATATTGTTTCCTTAAATCCACTGAATACCATGTTATATGCAAAAGTGGAGCATGTTTTATGTACATGCATCTTAAGTTGCAACAAAAATGTGATCCAGATTGACACACTGAATGGGTACATGCGATCTTCTGTTACTGATAAGTGCTAACAATATGCACCATCAGTTTTCCCTTAAAAGTCTGTGGTATGGTCATGTATTCCAAATGTCAGAGTAATCAGCTTTTCTAATCTTCTCCCTCTCTCTGAATTGTCATGCCCATTCTTTTTAATTTTCCACTGAATGTGGATGATCCTCTGTTTAGTGGCTGATTGCGTTAGGCTCAAGTCCAGTTTGATTGACCTAAGTTCTCCTTTTGATGGGTCCAGATATGGCTGGTACGACCTCAACTTGAAGATTGGTTGATGAGTTGAGGCATCAAGAGACCAGGCCAATCAGTTTGATGAAACAGCCACATTTAGTGTGCCATGTATATTTAGAAATGTAAATTTACACTCTTGCGAGATCAGAATAATATATCTAAGGGGGTTAATAAAGCTATGCTTTTATTTCTGTGGAGAACATTTCCCATTCATCTGATACAATAGACACCCAATCTAGGTCTAATGTTATACCTAGGGACAACCCAAGAGCTCCGGTACAGCAAGCTTACCTCATGTTGTGCATGAATTATGGGTTGAATGTCCTGCTTGGAGGTTTGGGCTGGATCAAGTCCACTTGTGTTGTGTAACATAACTGAGTTGCCTTGATGGAGCATGTTAAACAAACATCTACTCTAAAAACTTAAGCTGTTGAAGAGGGTGTAATTTAAGTATTTATACTTCAATAGAGTGGTTCTTGTTTTTAAATTTCTGAATGGTGACAAAGTTACACCTTTATTACTGATCATGTGATGTAATCTACCTGCTGCTCTGTGGGCAGATCATAATTAAAATGGCTGCTGCAAATGGAGTAAGGCGTGTTTGGGTTGGTCAAAATGGATTGCTGTCCACCCCTGCTGTATCAGCAGTCATACGTGAAAGAATTGGGCACGATGTAAGTTCACGCTTTCAACTGGCAACATTTAGCTGTGCTTGGAGCATTTTTTTTTTTTCGTTTCTTATGGTCATGGATGATGGTCGCTTTCAAATTTCATCATAGGGTTCTAAGGCAACTGGAGCATTTATATTGACTGCGAGTCACAATCCAGGTGGTCCCCATGAGGTGGGTATCAGCTATATCTGGCTATTTCTTAGTGTCTATACCCATCAAATTGTCTAGATTGGCAATCCGTGCTATGTTTTTCACGTTTCTGTTACCGGGATGAAATTGGTCATATCTTATTTTTACTTTTTAAAGCGTGATGTCATTGTCAATGAAATCAAGCACCTTCTTTGATTCTGTCATGGTTCTGGAGTTGTCTTTTCTTTTCAATGATCTTGAGGGCCTCGTTACCTGGAACTATTCTGAACCCATGTTTAGATGCAAGCTGGAGGACCAAGCATTTGATATTTACTTCTCCTGGACTTGATAATGAGTTTCTCCGTGTAATTGTAACTGCCGTTTTTGTTACTCCAACCTCGATCATTTCCATAAAATAAGCATCCCCCACATTCCTTGGTGGAGTTATCTGATTGCCAGCATGCATTTGTGCTATGATGGGCTACTATTGTCTTGAAAGCCTTCATTTCGATGTTGAGGATTATTTTGGAACAGATGATTCATACTGGAGGTTAAGAAATATTTCTCTGCCTCATCATTAATATCATATCAAGTAAGACTGTTGCCGACACATGTCTTGCAATTGTTTTGATCTAATCACACATTACGGGATGTCCCTAAGTTAATTATAAGCTGAATGCATGGATGCAAGTAATTCTTCTTTTTTGGCAAAAACTTTATCTTGAATATATTTTGTTAACTTATTCAGCTACCAAAGGAAAATATTTTTTACTAACTGAATTATAAGTATCTTTCAGTTCATACAAAGATTGTTGTGTTTTGCGTAAGTGCGTTATTGCTGATTTCCTAGATGTCAAAATGGAGCCATCCCTCTCCTTCTTCCTTTTTATCCCTCTTTTCTCCCCTGACCAAATCTACTTTTTTTTTTTTCTACTTGAACAAACCATTGCCAGTATAGCATCTTAATATTCACATTTGATCTCTAGATCATCATATTTTTCTTATATGTTTGGATCTTTTTGTGGTGTTCCCTTATGCCATGTAAGATAATTTTTTTCACATGTAGGTTTTTCTCAAGTAACTTACATTGTTATGCCAATTCGCTAGTAGTCAGCAATTCTCATTCTAGATCTCACAAAGTGAATCTTGGGACACTTACGTGATAAAATGCTGAATTTGGTGACATCCATCAGTTCTTCTGCCTTCATTACATACTAAAATCTATTATGATTTATAGATTTTGTGGCAAAAGGGAAATGACCTTATTCTATCAAGAGATCAATTCATATGGGAAGCAGCTCATATAAACATTCTTGCAGAAGTAAATACACCAGCTAAAAAATGATGTTTCCTGTTTTATCTTTCGTTGAAGGAAATGGTGGTCTGATATTCTAGAAAGCAAACATTATGACATTTGAACTGTCTACTTCACATACTGATACCCATAATATTACACTCATAATTTCACATTTGTTAATAACCTATACTGTATGGGAAATCCTCTTTTACTTGCTAAACTGGTTTTCTTTTTTCAGGTGATGTGGTCCATGTCAACATATTTTTTTCTTAACCAATTAAATGAGATCTCAAATTTAATTTGGGAGTATGTGTGTTTGGCTACGAAACTTTAGGTTTCTAACACCGTGGATTTCTTGTCTAGTTAAATCTCATTTCACTGATTTTGATATGTCAAGTTTCGTATAGAATCCTCTAATTTTTAGGCACATTTGGATATTGAAGTTTCAAATTTATCGCCTTGTATTGTTTCCTAACAGATCCCTTGATATCAGCGAGTTACATAGATTGAGGAATTTTTTGTGGTAACATGCCATGCCAATTTTGTACCTGGACCTTGTACATTGAGTTTAGCCCCAAAAACAATTTAAAAAGGTATTCCTATCAGTTAGTATAAAGGCCTGCCAATGCAAGTAGTTTTTCTATAATTCCTTTCATAACTGTAAGCTCACCCTAATTTTGAATGAAGCTTTACCTGGAAATTTGTTTGTCCTCTAAAAATTGTCTTCCTTGGAGGTACCTCTCATTTTTCATATTGATTATAGCATTAATATATTTGGTGGAAATCGCCTTTCCCCACTGGAACATACCAAATCCATTATATAGCAAAAATAAAAGAGAATCCAAAAGAATGTCTAGCATGGGAAGCTAAGCATTGCATGCTAGTCTAAACAACTACTCAATTTGGGTGGGAGTGATTATTTTTGAATCTGCCATTTGAATTGTTGAAATAGCAAAACTTTTGTTGTGATTTTTTCAGAACACAAATCCCTTACCCTAATATCTGACTCTTTCTTTTATGCTTTTTATTTTCTACAGGATTTTGGAATTAAATACAACATGGAAAATGGTGGACCTGCGCCGGAAGCAATTACTGATAAGATCTACGAGTACACTACAACAATAAAAGAGTACTTAATTGCAGAAGGCCTACCAGATGTATTGCCTGCTTTCTTAGCAGTTCATAGTTTTCTGGATTGCATCATGTGTAGTTGCTTAATGTGGTAGTTTCATTGATCACATGTTCATATGTCCAGGTTGATATCTCTGTAATGGGCGTAACAAGCTTTGGGGGTCCAGAGGGTCAGTTTGATGTTGAAGTTTTTGATTCAGCCAACGATTACGTGAAATTGATGAAGTATGTTATCTTCACTGGATCAATGTCAAGTTTTTACTTTCTGGTTTTAGTGGAAGCTTATATGTTGAAAACATTTATCCATGTCATTGTTTTCATCGGATACGATGAGAGTGGAGGGGTGGCCTTGGCTGATCTGAACCATTAAAGCTGGGTTCGGGTGTAGCTTATGAGAGGTTCTTATTATTAGAGCATTTGACACAAAATCAATTGGCAATGGGTGGGATGACCCCTTAAGTATATAAACCAACCGGTCTTAATTATTCGATGTGGAATACAAGCTCTCTTAATACTCTTCCTCACGTGGGATCAACAAACAAACAAGCACCCTAAGAATTTCAAATGGGTAAGAGATTTGGCACATTGACCACCCAAGACCCAACTCTGATACTGTGTTAGAGCATCCAACCCAAAACCAATTGGCAAAGGGTGGAGGGCCCCCTCAAGTATATAAACTAACTTTGATGATCTTAATTATTCGATGTTGGGTACAAGCTCTCTTAGCACTTGGTCCTAATTATTTGATGTGGGATACAAGTTCTCTTATAGCACTAATGCCCTTGAGTTGATCTGAACACACCGAACAAAACCATGGATTTATAATGCAAATCCACCAAGTGGGTACGGGATTTGGTCTAGAAGGCCTCTTAATACCCTTCCTTCCAATTCGACCCGAGTGTTACCTGATCCACACTCTACGTGTCCGGGTTGTCACCCCTAAAAGTTGTGAATTGTGCATGTTGTGACCCTTTAACTTCTATAACCTCTATTGAGACTGTTTACATGCATTTCCAAGTCAGTAACGTTGGTGGATGGATACTGATATTTTCCGATTTCTTAGTTTAATGTACACTTTTTACAGTATTAACAAATTTCCTTAATATTTTCTAATTAAAGTTATTTATTTTGTTGAATAGACAATTATACCAGTACATAATTTCACTACTTTTTGTTCTTACATTCTTCAACATAAAAAATGTTTGAAGCAGTTGTGACTTATAATACACTGTTTTGCTGATATTTCCATTTGGATTGCTCTCCTGTAATGGCATTCAATTTGTTGATTTCTTTGCAGGTCGATATTTGATTTCCAGTCTATTCAGAAGTTGCTTTCATCACCAAAATTCACATTCTGGTATGTATTGACATCTTGCTTGGATCTAAGGCGCATCATACTTCCATTTTGATTTTTTAAAGTTTATGTTGGATGTTTAAAACCTGTTATCCACTTTTAGTTATGATGCACTTCATGGAGTTGGTGGGGCTTATGCTAAACCTATATTTGTGGAAGAGCTTGGCGCAAAAGAAAGCTCTTTATTGAACTGCACACCCAAGGTACTGTTAGGTTAACATCATATTTGTTTTGAAATTATTAAGCTTTTGTGTCCGTAGTACTAATGCTCTCAGTTCCGTTTGCACATGAATTCATGCAAACAGGAAGACTTTGGTGGAGGGCATCCAGATCCCAATCTAACCTATGCAAAGGAGTTAGTTGCACGCATGGGATTGGATAAGTCAAACACTGAACATGAGCCTCCAGAATTTGGTGCTGCTGCTGATGGTGACGCAGATCGTAACATGATCCTTGGTAAAAGGTAGCATCATATAAAAACTTTGGCATGAACAACTTTCTTGCTAGAATCTTTAGTTTTTCCCATCAAGTAAAAAATAAAATATTGGGCAAGCCATGCTAGAATCTTAGATATCTAATTCTTTTTATGATGTCAGGTTTTTCGTTACTCCATCTGATTCTGTTGCTATAATTGCTGCAAATGCGGTTCAAGCCATACCCTACTTTTCTGCTGGTCTGAAGGGAGTTGCCAGGTTCTGTAGTCTTGCTTAGCTTCTGTGGTGCCATGTGTATGTCTATTCGTGCATGCGTGTTGTCATGCCCATGCATAATACTTCTAACATAATAATTCGAAAGGTTATTAATACTTCCTAATAATCAATATTTTGGAAAATATCCAAATTAACAATATCTAAGCAATATAATTCTTTGATAGACTTGGAATATGTAAAAAGGGATAAAAATTAAGTATTGAGCCCCGTATATATAGCCAATGAAAGTTACAATAAGAATAAAAAGGTAAAAAGAGAAAAACTTAATAAGCCCTAATAAATTAGGTTGCTACTATATCTCCAACACTCCCCCTCAAGTTAGGCGCAAAAATGTCAACTAAGTCAAGTTTGACAATAGAGTCCGAAGAATGGATAGAGTGACAGGTTTGGTAAAAACATCTGCAACCTGATCACTGGTCCTCACAAACGATGGAGTGACAATACCATTGCTAACCTTCTCCCGAAGAAAGTGAATATTGATCTCTATATGTTTCGTTCTCTCATGTAATACAGAGTCAGAAGCAAGCTAAATAATAGATCGATTATCGCAATATAATGTAGATGAAGAAGTCACTGAAAATCCCAACTCGCCAAGAATCGATTGTAGCCAGATAATCTCACATGTGCTAAGTGCCAATGCCCGATACTCTGCCTCTGCTGACGAGCGAGGGACAACTGATTGCTTCTTGCTCTTCTAAGAGATAAGATGAGTCCCTCGAAAAGCACAAAAGTCTGTAGTAGATCGATCGTCACATTCTCCCCCATAATCTGAATCTGAATAACAGGCTAGAGGACCGGTCTGAGATCCTAATGCATAGAACAACCCAAGTCTAGGACAATACTTGAGGTACCGAAGAATATGATAAACTGCATCAAGATGAGACTGACATGATCTGTGCATGAACTGACTAACTTGGCTGACAGCGAATGAAATGTCTGGCTTAGCGTTGGCTAGGTAGATAAGTCTACCTACCAATCTCTGATAGACAAATGAATCTCTCAACTCCTCATCCTCTGCAGTAAGCTTCAGGTTTGAAATCATAGGTGATGATGCCGGTTTGCACCCCAGCATCCCAGTGTCTGAGAGAAGATCTAGAACATACTTTCTCTGAGAAAAAATAATACCTCTGTTGCTACGTGCAATCTCAATCCCAAGAAAGTATCGCAAAAATTCAAGGTTTTTCACATCGAAGGCCTTCCCAAGATCTACCTTGACCTATGTAATCCCAGAAATATCATCTCCAATAATAATAATATCATCAATATATACCAAAAGGATGACATACTGTTCAGAAATATTCTGTCGAATGAAGCAGGTATGATCAGAATGACATCTGGTGAATCCTAAACGTACAACTACATCACTAAAGTGAGAGAACCAGGCTCATGATGACTGTTTCAGTCCATAAAGAGACTTACGCAGTTGACATACCTTTCCATCATACTCCCCCTCACCACGAAAGCCCGGTGGGGCAGCCATATAAATAATCTCGTCTAGATCACCGTGAAAAAATGATTTCTTCACATCTAACTGATGAAGAGACCAAGAGTACTCCGTTGCAAGAGAAATAATCAGTCGAACAGTAGTCAATTTTGCCACGAGGGCAAAGATAGCACCAAAGTACCTGAGTAAAGCCCTTCGCTACAAGCCTAGCCTTGTGACGATCAATAGTACCATCTGCAAGAAACTTCAGGTTGTAAACCCAATGACAGCCAACAGCCTTCACCCCTGAAGATAAAGAAACAAGATCCCACGTATGATTACGTTGAAGAGCATCAATCTCTGTCTGCATGACAAGAATCCACTGGGGCTCCTGCATAGCCTCTGAAACAGAGCGAGGAACCGGCGTATCTGATAAGGTCATACTATAAGCTCGAAATATAGGAGACAGATCACCATAAGAAACATAAGTAGAGATCGGGTATAAAATCTTGGCAGTCCAACCATAATGAACAACAGGACGACGATCACGCTGCGGATAACGACGCTCTAAATCATTATCCTCCACTGACAATGTCTCATCAGGTAAAACAACTGACTCAGTATTTGCAATTTCATCAGTACTAACAACAAGTACATCAATATACTCAACAAACGGAGAAGTATTATCTGCATCGCTTGAAGTAGAGGGGACATCAGCAGGGGGATGAGAACGAGGGCGACGAACATAAACCTACAAAGGAAGAGAGGGCGGTGACTCTGTACCAGGGATGAGTGGCTCTGGAGGAGGAGAAACCGATGACTCTGTAGTGATAATGATCAATGACTCTGGCTCTGGGGGTAATGAAAAATCAAAGGAAGTATCATCAATTGGAGGGGCAGACACAGGACTGGAAGAAAAATAAGGAATATGCTCAAGAAAGGTAACATCTAGACTGTGATACATACGACGCCTAACAGGATCATAACACCGATACCGCTTAGACTGATTGTAATAGCCCACAAAGACACAACGAATTGTTTTATTATCAAGCTTATGACGAGTAGGAGATTGATCCCGAACAAAACATGTACATCCAAAAACACGAAGGGGAACCGAAAAAAGTGTTTGCTCAGAAAATAAAACTTGTAAGGGAGCCCTATGCTGAAGAACACGACTCGGCGTACGATTGCATAAAAAGGTAGAAGTCAAAACAGTAAAATATCAATAAGATTTTGGCACTCCCATGCCTCTAAACATATAACGTATCATCCCTATCAGACTCCTATTTTTTCTTTTAGCAACGCTATTTTGCTCAAGAGTATATGGACAAGTGAGTTGTTGAAGGATACCCTGAGAAGAAAGTTGAGACACTAAGGCATTAGACACATATTCCTTGATATTATCTGAACGAAGAGTACGAACAATGACATCGAATTGTGTCTTAATCATTTGTAGAAACTGAGTGATTATAGGGAGTACATTGGATTTCCTATGCAAAAAATAGACCCAAGTTCAATGGGTATGGTCATTTAAAAAGGTCACATAGTATCGGGCACCTGACAGAGTAGTAACAGGAGAGGGTCCTCAAATATCAGAGTGTATTAGGTCAAATGGCTTGGGTGACTGGTGCATGCGAGGAATATAACTGGTCCTAACAGGCAAGGATCAAAATTTCGTTTCGAAGTACCGTTTCGGTCAACTCAAAAATAGAAACGTTTCGGAAACATTTCGGAAACGCAATGGAAACGCAGAAAAAATATGGAAACGCATAGAAACACAAATGCAATCCATTAATTTATAAAGATATGCTAAATAATTTATTAATTCAACATATTTATTAGATTAACATCAATTTATACAAGAATAAATTTAAATTTGAGGGAAAAAAAGGCTTGACTTGAGGCGAAAGTCACTTAAATTAGTTTCAAACACTTAATTTTTATAAAATAAACACATTTTTATATAATATTAAGGTCTTATAATACACATGAATTGCTAATGAGTACATACTTACATGGTTACATCCATTCCCCTGTGGAGTGTCGAGCAGGCTCATACATCGGTGTAGGCTCTGGGTAGCTACTTAGAGAAACTCCATATGTGACATAAATATGATGACAATAGTTACTCCAAATCATATTATTACGGTAATATAATCCAATTAATAATACTATTTTATTATAATACTAACAATGAAGGGTATCAAATTAAATTAATGATACTTATGTATACTTAAAAATTAAATGTAATTGCAGTGGGTATTAAATGTAATTACAGTAGGTATTAAATATAATTACATTAGGGTATTAAATGTAATTGTTAATACTTATAACAAAAAAAAAAGCAAAAAACTTGCACAGCAGTGAGGTATTAAATATAATTACAGTATGTATTAAATATAATTATAATGGGTATTAAATATAATTATAGTAGGGTATTAAGTGTAATTATTTATTCTTATAACAAAAAAATTATAAAAGACAGAAGAGCAGTGGGAATTAAATGTAATTATAGTGGGATATTAAATATAATTATAGTGAGTATTAAATGTAATTATAGTGGGTATTAAATGTAATTATAATGGGGTATTAAATGTAATTATTCATAATGAACCGAATATATCACTGTTTTGTCGAAACGGTTCGAAACAATGCCGTTTCGACCGAAACGGTCCGAAACAGTACCGTTTCGACCGAAACACTGGAATTTTGTGATTCAACTACTGTTTCGTTTCGGAGTGTTGAAATTCCGAAACGTTTCGGACGTTTCGGACGTGTCGACACGACATTTTGATCCTTGCTAACAGGTTTTGATAGGGAACATATAACACAGTCAAGTTTACCACCAACACAAGCATTACTCAAAGCAGGAAACAACATACATAAATATTTAAAATTTGTATATCTAAAACGGTCATGCCACAACTGAACAGTTTGTGACGAAAAATCATAACGACAATTACTAGGTAAAATACTAGCATGCAAGTTAGGAACAGATAAAGATAAAGTAGGTGCAGGTGACGTAGGTAGAGGAACTAGTGAAACTGGAGGCGGATCGCCTAGATAATACAGTCCATCTCTCTCATGTCCCTTGATAATAATTCTCCTGGTACTCAAGTCCTGCAAATAACATGAATCAGATAAGAACACAACCGCACGGTGAAAAGCTTTGGCTAACTAATGTACAGATAATAGATTCATGGCCAACTTTGGCGCATGAAAAACCGAAACGTAATGTAAAGCCATCTGGGAGGCGGACTGTACCCCTACTAACAATAGGGGCATGTGTCCCGTCTGCTAACTGAACCTGTGTATGTAACCAGGCTTTGTGGATATATGGCAGTTAGTCTAAGGCAGTTGGTATAGAGGCAGTCGGTGCTGGCTTCTTTTCTGTGGTTTTGGAGCTTTGTGGGTATATGGCAGTCGGTGCTCGTTGTTGGCTTTGCTTTGTGGTTTTGGCTTTGTGTCCCCGGCAGTGGGCTAGCTTCCTTTTTTTTTTTTTTTTGGTTTTTCCAGTGGAGAGGCTGTCGATGGTGACAGTAGGGGGTGATGAAAGCTAGGGTTAAGGTTAGGATTAGGGTTAGAGATGGAGGTTAGACTCTGATACCAACTTGGAATATGTAAAAAGGGATACAAATTAAGTGTAGAGCCTCGTATATATAGCCAATGAAAGTTACAATAAGGATAAAAAGGTAAAAAAAAAAAATTTAATAAGCCCTTATAAACTAGGCTGCTACTTTATCTCCAACAGATAGTAAAATTAATAATAAACTAATGTAAAATGTCACATTCTCTGAGTCTTCAATCTTTCAACTTCCACTCTATTGTTGTAATCTAAATTCTGACTTTGAATCCGTAAAATAATAAGCCCAACAAGAGTATTAACTACCACAGTGAGCAGTATAACGTAAGAAGAGATTTTTATCACACATGGGATTTCAGATTTTATATAAAGCAGTCTCTTGTAAAGTATCAAGAATATTGAACTTTTATGGAACTGTGGACGATACACTAAACAGACGTCGCTTGCAAAAAAATGAAAAACACTTATTCACCTTATCAGCTTTGACATGACTAACATTTACCATCTTGGTGAAGGCCACTACATTGTTGCAGCATCTCGCACATAGGAATATGACTCGTTTTTTCCCAAGACTCTAACCATATCGGTCCGAGTCTGGTATAGATCATCCAATTCGTAGCTGTATAACTTTGAGTCATGCCGATACCACCAAGTCACCACCAATTCAGGTGGGATTCATGATATCCGTGTGACTTGTACCATTAGCAGATTGGAGGTGACTGAATCGGATTCGGCCGATAACTTAAACCTTGTTTGCCAATAAAATAGCTCTACTTTATATAAATTAGTCATTCACTCCCTACTTATGTGTTGAACTATTTTACCTTGCTCCAAGCCCTTCGTGGAGATAATCATTGATATTTTAAAAAAAAAACCCAAATATTCTCTCTTTGTGTGAATGAGGCATGAGAAATTTAACCACAGCCACCTATAAATGAAACAAGTGCAAGCATTCTCTCTCCTATATTTTTTATTGTCCTTCTGTGTCACAAAATCTAAATTAAATTTCCAATAACTAGGGAAGTTATATAATTTATCCTCTCTAAGATTAAATTGAAGTAAAAATATATTCATATAATGATATAATTACTTTGTGGTGTTACAGAGTTTGCTTGCTTTGGTGGGCAGGTTCATGCATTTGTGCATGCTTTCTTAAACTTGAATTTTCATTTGTTTAACCTTGTTTCTCCAAGTGCTTGCACAATCTCTCTCGTCCACAGAATTTAAACTTTTCCGAAGACCAGAATTCTAAGTTGTCCATCTGCGTGCGAGTTCATTACTTACCTCTTTTGTTTGTTTCTCATTTTTTATTTTTTTGCCTACAGGAGCATGCCAACGTCAGCTGCTCTCGATGTTGTAGCTGAACATTTGAACTTGAAATTTTTTGAGGTACTCTCTCGCAAAAACTAAAAAATTTCTAATTATGTATTTCTTTTCTATTATTATGAGAGGCATAGTTATGCTATTATGTTGATGTCAGGTGCCTACTGGCTGGAAATTCTTTGGTAACTTAATGGATGCTGGAATGTGCTCAGTTTGTGGTGAAGAAAGTTTTGGAACTGGTAAGACTATGTGCCATTTTCTTTCATATCTAATAAATAAAAGCAAGTCACATTATTTTTGGAATCTTCATTACATTAAATAGATTGTACGGTTCAATTTTTTCAAACATTTGTTCTACCTGTTGGCAGGCTCCGACCACATACGTGAGAAAGATGGAATTTGGGCTGTTTTGGCTTGGCTATCCATACTTGCCTACAAAAATAAAGACAACCTCAGTGGGGAGAAGCTTGTCACAGTGGAAGACATTGTTCGAAAGCATTGGGCCACATATGGGCGTCACTATTACACTAGATATGATTATGAGGTATGCCTGAATAGTAGCTTTATTACTTATTGTTCTAATCCCTCTAGTAGCAGTAAGATTGTGATAAACATCATTTGTTAAAGGAAATTGTTTGTTTCTTCAAGAATGTTGATGCAGGTGCTGCAAAGGAACTAATGGCATATTTGGTGAAACTGCAATCTTCCCTTGGTGATGTTAACAAGTATGCTTCCCTTGCTATCTCCAAAAAAAAACTCTTTGGAAATGTTCATATTTCATGGACTTAAATGAAGTAAAGGCATTCTGTCAGTACCCTAAGTTTTCTATAAAATTTCATTTCAATTACACTAGGTTGGGTTTGTAGTGTATGACTGTGCATGTTAAACATGTCTGTATCCTTGGGATATGGGCATGGCTCATTTCCTTTGTAATGGCAATTCTTCTATAGAAGGGATGAGCACTACGTCACTTGGAGCCTTTTAAAGAGCAAGATTTGGAATTTCTTTGGGAATTTGCTTTTGCTTGAACTCAGTAGAGATATAACTCAGAGACACTGAAGAACATTCACTCTCTTCTGCCCCTTTATTCTTCTCTCCCTTGTTCTTGCAGAATGAGCATCACTATGCCGATGTTCAGAATTTTGCTCAGACTCCCCTTTTTTATCTGTGGATCAATTTGTTGGTTTTCCTTTTTGGCTTATATATTTTCAATTAGGAAAAGGTTAGACTGATATCTGCTGCTTATTATCTAAAAAACTATAAAACTAAAACCAAATAAGCACATATTTTATTGATATTCCTCTGATTTATAGAGCCGTTGGATGAGAAATAAAATAATTCTCCTCTTTGATCTGAATATTCCAATTTTGAGTTGTAAAGAATCTATAAAATGAATTAAAAATGATATTTCACTGAAAATCCTGATATCAGAGCCGAAATTCAAGGTTCCCAGTTCCACCCTACTTGGCTTCTGTAGTTTTCTTTTTTCCTCTTCTTCGTCCTCATCTTTGTGTTGGTTGGTGTCTGACTTAGTTTTATTATTTATAGTGTTTCAGATATTCCTGATATGCTATTCCTTTATGTTTATCAATATTAGTGAGTCTCTATGAAATGTGGATTTAGAGATTGTATTAAATGTTGGTCATTGGGAATAAAATTTAAAATGTGATGGGGACATTTAGAAAACAAAGCAGACAGAATAAAAGGTACTCATAATCCAAACAAAACTATCAACACTACCTGCCCCAGCCTGATCAACTTTTCCTTGGATTGGGTAATAGTTAGTTGTTGGGGTGGTTGATGAGCCCCATCTCAGAGGACCTTGCCCCCCCCCCCACACACCCAAAGTGCCGAAATAGAGCCTAATGGACTTACCCCATTGCTTTGGGTTGGCGGGAGACACCCTGTGGAATGAGTATGCTGTTTGAAATTTATCAGTTGACATAATCCAATTTTTTGGTTGCTTTTTATGACTTCCACTTTGTCAGAGGATTGTTTGTACTATGTGTTGTGGTCTATATTGAGAAGTGCTTGATTAGCATCGAGGCTGAACTGCCATTTTCTCTTTTTGATATCGAATCTGCAACATTCTCATTCTGGAAAGGATGTTCTTTTGCAAACCTTGTGCTGTATACTTTACACAGGACTGTGAAGGGAATACATTCAGATGTGTCGAGTATTGTCCATGCTGATGAATTCGAATACAAAGATCCTGTTGATGGTTCCATTTCAAAGCATCAGGGTATACGCTATCTGTTTGAGGATGGGTCACGATTGGTAAGCAAGCTCTCCCGTGACCAATAACCCTTTCAGATAGTTTTGAGATCATTGCATGTAGTATTGGAGAGTTAGGAGTTGGGAGTGCATTAGCTTCCTAGCTTTGTCAGGGTTCATAAAATTATTGTGGGGAAGTACTTCCAGCAAGTTTGACAAGCATTTGCATCCCTGAAGGAAATGTTTTGAGGACAGCGGGAAAATGACAAGAAATTCACATTCATAAAGGGCGAAAAATCAATATTTCTAAAGGAATTCATGTTCTGAATATGACTTCTTGTTTTGGAACGCAAACCTGAAGTAAGAATGTTCTCATTTCAATTATTTTCTTACTCATATAGACATGTTCCAAATCTCTTTTCTAAAAGCATTTTACTTATGGAATGCATGTTCTAATTATGAGTTCTCCGTTGCTGAAAAAAGAAGGTTCTAATTTTCAATTATGAGTTCTTTGTTTCCTGGAATCTTTCTTACATTTTTAAACCTGCCCCAGGTTTTCCGTCTCTCTGGAACTGGCTCAGAGGGTGCTACCATTCGTCTTTACATTGAGCAATATGAAAAGGATCCATCTAAGACGGGGAGAGATTCTCAAGAAGCACTTGCTCCTCTTGTGAGATATATCTTCAAGCTTTCTTGCCATTCATTACGGCCTCTTTAATCACTTTCTTTTGATTAACTGGGATACATTTGGTGGCAGGTGGAGGTTGCTCTTAAGCTGTCTAAGATGCAGGAATTTACCGGCCGATCTGCTCCCACTGTTATTACATAGACACCTGCGGCTGCATATTAGGTCGTCTCCACATACTTATTTTTTGTGTTTAATAAGAATACGTTATCCTCGTGTTCGCCCTGTGGTATCAAAAATCCATGATCCCTCCCTTTAGAGGACACATGAAAGGTTTTTCTTTTTTCGGTTGTGTTTTAAGAACTCTTGGCAGTGGGCACCCATCTTCCAACATTTAAAGCTTTATTCATTTACCACTTGACTTCGGATTGTTGCCGTGTCTGGTTGCTCCCCACCCACCCAAACAAACCCCACTTCCTTTTTTTTAGTCATTACATTTTCCATTTGGCCCCATGAGTGGAGGAATTTCTTATCAAGTTTTTCATTTCAAGTATTGTGATACAGTTTTTACCGTCAAATAAATGAGTCCTATTAATATTCAATGATAGAAATTGTGCTACATCACTTGGGATGAAAAACTTGATATGCATGACATTAAAGCTTGCCGAAATCTTCCTCTCTTCATCTCTTGCCCTCGAGATACCATGGGACCATACCCATGGCAGAAGTCAAATTCTCTCGTAGTCCCTTTCTCCAACAACTCAATTTCCATGCAGAAAACCATATCACCATGATGGTTGTTCGGTCAAAAAGGGGTAGAATTTTGTATTCGAGAAATTGTCCTCCAATTGGAGTCGTTTCAATACCTTCTTTTGACGTAGTGCCATGATTTGAATCGTTCTTATATTCGAAGTATTCTTTTGTTCAACATTTTGTGCGTATAATTATTCTTAATACATGTTATTAAAACTTTTGCTATTTTTTTTTTGAATATACAAAAAAAAAAAAATCAAAATTATGAACATATTTTTACTAAACATCGTACTGTAGTTACAAGGATCTGAGAAGACCTTGCACTATTGCTTTACCTAACTGCAACAAATGAACAAATAAAGCTTTTGCCAAGGAATTTTTTCCTAGGGAATACTTCAAAAATTCTTTGTATTACATAAAATTTCGTCAGAAGTGGGAAAACATTCACCTATAAAATTTTCATTTCCACAACTCTCCATTTCAATAAATACAAATTCTTAGCATTATACAATAAAATTTCGTGCATACAATAATTAGAAAATGTCAAATTTACATAACATCTACAGCAACATACATATAAATTCATCAATGGCCATCGAACATCTGGCGGGAAAACACCAATGAACAAAAAGTCTGAAAAAAAAAATATAATTAAATACAAGTATTACTCGTACATTACATGAAGAAAAGCACAAGTATATTTATGAGTTAGTGATTTGATTGGAGCAAAAGAAAAGCAAACAGTGTTAGATGATTGATTGTACACACTCAAAGGCTACCCCAGAGACATTTAACAAAAAAAAGTGGCATTACAGAAAAAGAACAGCCACTGATATGGTGAGTGGATGGAGCCTGAGTATCCATGATGTGGCAAAAGGGTCTTATTCTGCGTATAATATAGTGTTTAAATCGATTCCAAATGTTAATAATATTGATTCTAAGTTCTTTTATGGACAATCCCAAAATGTTGATTGATGAACAAAGTTCTTATTCATGAACTTCGATATCCAAAAAGTTCTTATTCACGAACGCAAAAATCTGTTGAAGAATAGGCAGATTGAAATTCGATGATATACACTTCGAGAAAGAAATCAATGTGCTGATGGTTTGGCACACTTAGGATTACAACAATCGGAAGATTTTGTGGAACTCACAACTCTCTCTGTCCAACTTGGGCCTGGGTTTTTGGCAGACATGTCCTGCACCCTTTTTTGTTAGAGGATCTGAGTGATCCTTTTTTATTTTCCAATGTACCAAAAAAAAAAAGAAAAGAAATTTGATCTCACTGGATTAGAACTTAACGTCATTAATTGTAAATTTTTTCAAGAACTAGTACAGTAGATTTTCAGTTTTCTGGGGTCAAATTTTGAGATTGAAATTTTGGTATTGGTTCTAAGATGTAATGGAAAGGTTTTTTATTGTTCCAAATGGAAGTTTATTCTAACTTTAGTCAGAAAAATTTTCTCTTCCAGTTGGAGTCCCATTTTATATTGGCTTATCAAATAAAAAGAAAAACACGTAAAAGATTACCTATCACTTCTTTCCCAATTAGTACCAAACATATCGTTAAACGATGGATGTCAAGTGGGTTAGCTTTGGACAAACATAACAATTAGAACTTGAAATTTAGTTTTTTTGTTATGTCATTTTCTAGCATGATTTTGCTCTTTGCATCTCGTCCTTGTTATAAATCATATTTTTACGATATTCCATTTAGTAAGGAGAGCTTCCCAAGTTATTATTAATCTTTTACTATCAAATCTTTTAAAGTAATGATCAACATGGTTGATAACATATTGTATCACGTGGAATGTTTAAATCATGTAACTCATTACATGTTAAAATATGTTAGAGAAATACGCAGTTCTAGTCTAATGGGTCAATCCAATTATGATTGTCATTGTTAAGACTAAACTAGTACATGAAAATCTCGTGTTAAGTTCTTATTAGGTTGACGAATTTTAATAATAAGTTCGTGTCATGCTTTCATCATGTTATACCAACATTGTCATAAACCATCTGCTCATTAAAGCAGCCCAAAATATGGTTCCAATGATTCAAATTTTTTAGTAAAGAGTAATACTATTAAGATTTGAAAAATTGATCTAATTTACTGATATAAGAATATGTCAAGTGACAGAATTCCAATGAAGAAGTACGAGAGTCTGTCTCAGCAATACTATTGAATTGTGTCACCGTTACATCATTAAATCAATTAATTAGATTAAATTTTTAAGTCTAATCGCATTATTCGTAAAATAAAAGGCATCCGTAGGATTCCAATCTATACAACAAGAAGCAAAAACAAACTATTGACAATTATATCACTTGCAAGTCACTTTCCTGACTAAAGTAGACACACCCCACACTATCCACATTTTCAAGAAAGAAGGTTCAACTTCATATCACAGGCCAGAAGTGAATGGCACTTCGGTGGCCGGAATCCATGCATCTCCGGCCAAGAAACTCCCAACAGAGAATTTTTCGGCCTCTGTCCCACTTGTTATAATGTTATATCCCGGCCACTTAACCCTAGCACTTGTCATCGCTCCAAGTCCTGTATTCATGTACTCACCATAGTATAGAGTTTTCAAAGCAAAGTCGCCGTCCCATGGACACCACCCTTCAGGGTCAATCAAGCTGTCCAGAGAACTCTTCATGATCACAGTCCTGGAGTACTGCCCCCATGGCCGGCCAAGATAGGTTTTAAACGATTCCTGCACTGGTTTCAAATCCGAGGCCGCGGTAACAACTGAATTATGTATAACAATCCTTGTGTTCTCATTGGGATCACTTCTTGCTTGAGCTGTGACTGTGTTCTTCTGATTACTCATTGGCCTTCTTACGTATATGTTACAGTTTTGAAGAACCATGACAGCATCGCCACAAATGAAGTCTTCAGTGCCACAGATGTCACAGTTGCGATAGAATTGGCGTTGGGAATGGACATATAAGGTGTCTTGGTAGCCTATGAACCTGCAGCTGTAGAAAACCGAGAAATCCGAACTGGAGCGAAGAGCAACTGCTTGGTGTTTCTGAGGTCCGGCCGTGTTTTCGAACGTCATGTCCCGGGCGATGAAGCCATTGCCGGAAACAGCTGAGAGCAAGAAAGGCTGTGTGAGTAATGAGATAAATATCATTCCACTACTATAATTTATTTATTAATATAGTCAAACAATATCAATATATCAGTGTCACATTATTTAATTTTTTGATTAGTAGCGAAAGAACTATTTCATACTATACTAGGGAAGAACAATATTATTGGAACCTAAAAAATTAACATAATTTCTTAAACTAATGATGTGAAGATAACGTGGTCTAATAGTATTAGAGTAATGTTACACTGACCAAATTTTAGGACCAAATTTATAGCTCAATGACATGTGACAATTAAACCAAATTCTTTAAAAGTCAAATTATTTTGCCTTTTTCTCATTTTTCGCCCATTTTTGGGGAGAAAGCAAATTGTGGACCGGGGGGAAAAGTCCTCCCCCAATTTTTCTTTTCATTATTCTTTCCTTTGATACCAAATAATGGAATGCTTTTCCATTCACCCCATTTTCCGTCCACCTCATTTTCCTTCAAACCAAACATGCTCTTAGTTCTTTATAACCATTAGATTAACTATGAGTCTCATCAAACATTAAAACTTGGTATTAATTTAATAGTTACAATAAAATCATATAATTAGATCAATAAATTAAATCAAATTTTAAGGTTTAAATAACATTATTCGTATAACTCACCAAAAGTTGCAGAGCGAAAAGTGCTGGTGCCATCTTGAAGATTGTTATACTTATTGCCAGTAACAATGGTAGCACCAATCCCATCTCCAATAAACATCAAATTTTTCATTGTTTTCTTAATCTCAACATTTTCCTTGTAGACTCCCTTTTTGACATTTATAACAAATCTCTTACTTCCACTCCTTGATGCAGCCACAGCTTCGGATATGGTCTTCTAATCACCTGAACCATCTTGTGCCACCACAACGTTGGCATTAATCGATGCTCCGGCCGCTTGAAGAAGCTTCCGGTCAGCAGCTGAAACCCATCCAGGGAAGCCCCCGGATAATAAGCATCGGCCTCGGACCTTTTTACTAGAAATTGCAGTTGATCGTGAAGCCATGGCCTTATTGAGTGCAAGTGAATTGCTAAGGAACATGTTGAAGTCACTTAGCATGATGGGAAAGGACTGCAAATAAGAACACAAGTCAAAATCAATAAACCCGTTTCGACATGTTTGTTCATTGACAATTGCAGCACTTAACCAAGTTTGAGAATCAGCCATGGTGGTTCGATTATTGACAGAGGTGATAGAACTGTTGAGCTTGTCAATGGTGTCCTCATAAAGCTCCAAACAATCAGCCCAAGCTGACTTGCCTTGCTCGTTGAACAAGCTCACGTCCATGACTGATACGAGCTTGTGAGCTTGTACAGCGTTAGCCATGGTGGCCCTTAGGGCAGTGTCACGCATACTGAAAATGGTTTCATCTAAGCTTGCTTGAGGTTTATTTTTGATGAAGGAATTGCAGAGTTCTGGATATGTGGTTTGGGTACATAGAGATATTGTAGTACCATGCACCACCTTTAGAGATATGACTAGAACATGAACGGCTAAAAGTGCTAAGACAGAAGGTTTATCCATGTACACAAAGTTTGCTAGCTATGTATTATTTCTCTAATGATTTAATGATCTAAAGATGGCAGGAGAGGACTCATTATATAGGCCACAACTTGGCTTTGTGGGGTCAAAGAAAAGGTATTAGCAGCCTAGATATTGGTAATTTTGTTTCACGCCATTGCACTTGATTTCTATTTCGTCCATAAACTAACTGATTAAGTTCCTGGTTGTATTTCGATTAATTTCTGTTGTCCAAATCTGCCACCAATTTTTGAGGAAAAGTATAACATTGGCATCAGCTGCCCCAATTAAGAGCTTAATACTTACTAAAGGGGGAATTGCACCCTGTACCCGGAAAGATTTAATGATTTTCACTTTTTAGCTTTAAACACTACAAGGAAAAGTTTTTACGCGGTAAAGTGCTGTTATAAAAAAATTTTAATATTTGGTTACAAATATTTTTTGTAGCGGCATTGTCTCACCATAATAAGTGTAGTCTCAAAAGGTTTTTACAGCAGTAACGGTCTGTCTCAAATAATATTTGCGGCATCAAGAATCTATCTTAAATAAGTTGTCACAAAACATCTAACACTTTTACTTTTATTACGACGGTAAAAATGCTACCTCAAATACCACGTTTGACTGTCGTAAAAAATAAAAGATTTTGTTGTGTCAGTTAATATACTGTTACAAAAAGTATGAAATTTTTTCTACGTTAAATGAAATATATTTATGACAGCAACGATGCCGCCACAAATTTTTTTTTTTTTTTTTAATTATTATGGACCGTTAGTAACTAATGTTATATACCCTATTTTTTTTAGAGTGAGGAAGGGAGTTTGAACTCTTGACTTAAAGAAGACAAAACTTTCACAAGGTAAGAAGTATTATTAAACCAAAGATCTATTGGTATCCGCATAATTACCCAATTCAATATATAGATAAATACAAAGATAAATATGACAAACATTTCAAAAAACATAGCAATATTTTCATATATAAAAAAAAAAAATCTCATGAGTTAAACAAAATGTAAAATATACATTTTCACAAAACACAACGGTCCATAAGTACAAGAAATTAAATATTCTTTCCGAACCATCTACTCTCTCAATGACTTGTGAAAAAAATATAAAATTATTATTACTATACTGAAATGATATATATATATATATATAAAGAATTAAAAGAAATTAGAATATACACCAACAGAGGACCATACAATATTTTTTTGAATGACTTGTCCAATTATGTAAGTGGTATATAAATGAGTCATACTGTATACATTTCTTACAATTAGTTTTATCAATACCTGATTCGTTTATCGTACTGTGTTGGATCCACTCATTTGCTAAACAAATGGTTTAAGGAAGACTCAAACTCACTAATTTTATGTCGTATTAACGGGTCGTGTCATATTTTGACACCTTTAGTTTTGATATACAAAATTGACTTTGTAGAATTTAATTGTTTTTTTTTTTGAACTAGAAATTGTCTTTTGATGTAAAATTACGTAATTTTATAAAGTATTACTTGTAATATGAAAAATAGTTGTGGCCAATACAAATTTTTTTAGAGTTTTTCTTCTTTAAATTATAAACTGTTTTTAATCTAAAATAATATTTTAATGTTTTATGAAATATTATATATGACAGGAAAAATAGTTGTCATAAATATAAAAAATTCTTATGAAATATTATTTGCAGCAAGAAAAACAGCTGCCACAAATATTAACAAAATATTAATACAAACATGTTTTTTGTGACGACAAACACAACCGCCACAAAAAATTGTGTCAAACACGCCTTTTATGTTGGCGAACACAGTCGCCGTAAAATATTTGTCACAAAAAGCCTTTATTCTTGTAGTGAAAGATAAATTTTTCTACATTACACTCTTAATATATCAAAAGTGTTGCAATGTAACCCTTGTGTTAGATTCCGTTACTTTTTCCATTACTATGGGTGCAAATTGAGATTTGCGCATTACTAAAATTAGCTCTAAAATTGTAGTATGTGTCTTCAAATTGTGTGGATTGGATTAGCAATTTTGAATATTTGAGCCCCTCAATTATATCTATTAGTTTATTTTGCACATAATTGACTTGAATATTAATATGATTTGAATTATGCCCTAACTTGGATACGTGACATTGGCGTGACATGTTTACATTACAATTGCTGGCAAATTAGGATGGTGAGACTTAATTGACACACGTCATAAAGTTTAAGAACTCAATAATTTCGAACCAAATGGAAATAAGGTGCGGAGATTGTTGAAAGTTGTGCTAATTTTATTAGTTTATTCACACATGGTTCATGTACATGGTGTGGTACATGAGTGCAGCTCAAGAGTTTTTTTTTAAGTTAAAAAATGGTTTGGTACATGGTTTGGTTTGGTACATAAATGTACGTCAGTAATATACATGTATAGATTCTAAGGGTCATTCATGAATCTACTTGTCTAGATACATGATAAGAGTGTCTTATAAATTCTAGAAGTATTTTGAGTCATTGTGTGTATCTTTATAGAGAATAGAAAGGAAAAGTATTATGAAATAAAAGTTTTTGTATTCTTCTTCTATATGGGTGTTAGTTCTAATTGTTCTAGTTTTAATTCTTCAACGGTCTTAGGCATGCAGTCTAGAGTTCTAGCTGCATTATTGGAGAGTGTGATTCTCTCAAGTGACATTAAGGGTATACAATATAATAGCCAATTCGATAATTCAACCTTTTTAAGTCTTTGCCAATGAAAAATGTCATGGACCATCGTGAAGTTTACGTGAAAAAAGAATCTATGGGGCATATGGTCGTTTATCAATGTTAAATAACGCCAATAGGTTATGAAATCACTTTAATGAATTGATTGTGATAACTACTTTACTGATTGTGATAACCAAGAATTTGACAATTACGATACATTTTTTTCTTTCTTTTTTTTCTTCTTATATCACCTACTATGAATTTAAGCGAAACATATTACACATAAGTAAGTTATTTGACAATATGTGGTAAACACTTTTTTAGTACAATAAAAGATAAAATATATATCGGAGAGAATTTGAATTTTCTGGCGTGTAACTGGACTTTGAGAATAAAAAATGGAGTAATATTATATCGACTTAAAAATTAGATTAGATAATTATAACTATTGAATAGGTAATGAGTCATAATAAATGTTGAGATCACAATAAAATCAATTATTGTAATTATTAAATTTAATTTTTTAAGTCAACGAAGTATTACTCTAACAAGTGAAGAAGTTAACATTTCAACAACCAGCCATTTAGTCAATCAGGACTGACCCACACAAAGGTATGGACATTTTGTACATTTAGATAATTTACAAACACTTAGAGAATAAAAAGTGAAGAAGTTAACATTTCAACAACCAGCCATTTAGTCAAATCAGGACTGACCCACAAAGGTATGGACATGTTGTACATTTGCAAACATGGTGGGTAATCCTAAAGAGACATTTCACAGATTTATGTAAGACCACCAAACACTCGTTCTCAGTTGTTGGTACCTTGAATATGCCTAAGATTAAGCTCCTTAATTCGAGTCGTACTCTCTTAGGTCGGGAGCTCAGTTCACTTTAGTCGCCCATAGATATCAAGTGCAAACCTCGAGCTCCTGCTTCTGCCTCTCAAGGAGAGCAACATATGAGACAATTGGCCTCCACCAGACACCACTTCGATAGTAATGGTCGCTTATCCAAGTATAAGAATCACAACTGCTCCAACACTCTTCACTATTGTTGCGGGATAGTAGCAACCGTTACAAGGAGAAGCAAGGATCACACCAAGGATCAAGCGAAGCTCGGGGCCAACTATAAATAAGGGGCATAACCCCAGTAATACAACAAGTAATTATAGTCTAACTCAATACTCTGTGTAAATTCCCCTTTATCAATATATTTTCCAGGATTAAGAGACTACCTTGAGAGTGGATTAGTCGAGCTCCTAAGTTGGGGAACCATTATAAACCTCTGTATGTTAATCCCTTTTCCTTGGTCCAATTCTCAAGAGCCTAGAAGCTCAGATTGAATCACTTAGTGCTCACTAATTCTCCACTTCTACTTCATTGCGCTAGACTCATCATTAGTTGGCGTCGTCTGTGGGGACGACTGTTCCTGTTAAAATTCTACTTATGTTTTTTAGTAATTGATGGTTTCTATGTGCAATATGAGAAAAAGTCAGATGAATCCCCTACAATTACAGAACCAACAAGAAGCTGCCACTAAAAGATAGCAGAAAAATTCACATGATTTCTTGTCTAATCTGAAGATCGATCCTCCCATGCTGAATCTCCCTCCGAACAACGAATTTGAGGCCTTTCGCCTAGCCAACCAATGCCTCCTCCAACAGAATGAAGAGTTGCTGAGCCTCTTCCAACGTCCCCAAAGGGCATAACCAGCCCAAGACGGTCCCTCACAAGGGGAACAACAACACCTCAACCCTCTGAGAGACATCACTGAGGGGGATGAGCGTAGCCAGACAATGGGCAATGCCCATCGTCGAGCTTAGAGGAACGAGGACAACGAGGAAGTACAGAGTCTAAACAGGGGAACTTACAAGAATGAATTTCCCCCACTTCAGCAGAACAGAAAGGAACAATATTGGGAGCAACGCTCAAGGAAATTCAACAAGAGGTCAGCCACATGAAGGAGGTTGTAAAGGGCAAAACCCCAGTGACTATGGACGCTGTGGTCTAACAAACAGAATCTCCCTTTACTACAGAGGTGCTACATTTTTCTCTCCCATCTAAGTTCAGAATGCCTTAGATAGAGACATTCGATGGAATGAAGGATTTCATAGACCACCTTAACACCTATAAAAACCAAATGGAGCTACATGGATATCAAGACTCCTTGCGTTGTCGAGCCTTTGTCATCACATTAAAGGGCTCAACCTTAGCATGGTTCAATAGGCTGACTCATGCATCCATTTTCTCTTTCTGGGAACTCTCCATCTCATTCGTCTTGCATTTCATAGGAGCTCGAACCTACCGAAAGCCAAACAA